CAAATATGTATAAGCACATCCAATAAGTTACAATCACGCAACTTGTTCCATACGAACTGATGTATTACACCTTTTTAACATGTTCCATACGCACTAATATATCCAAGTCATAAACAGATTTGCAACCAATTTATCAGACTATATTCCAGTGCCAAAGATCCTTCGTAGCGTTAGGTTCTTTTATACAAATAATGTTCCAATAATCTCAGATAATTTGTTTCAATATCCAAACTACATCTTATTTATTAAACTTGTTACACATAGCATGTAAGTAAAATTTTATTATAACATTATAACATATTTTTACCGTATCGAAGCAACCTTATACGACTAACTTGTTTTAAATCTATGCAATTGAAAACAAGTTTTGTTTATAGTATTCTACGCAGCAGGTCGTGACTTTCACTTCTTATCAAATGCAAAAAACAAATAATAATGTTGTACAAGTCGAAATATTCTAGTCTTTATCTAGATTTAGTTTTCTTTTATATCGTTAGAGAAATTTTGTTTGTAGAGTTAACATATTTGACGGTTTCTGAGTGAAATACCTTCTCTCGATCATGAAGAACTTGTAAAAAATGTCATCTATTAGGAAATCCTGCAAAAATACATTTTCTGTAAACCAGTATATAAACTATATACATTATCAGAATAGTTATAATTGTCTTTAACGATTACTTGTTCGTGCTCAAAGAGTAAAAATACATAAATTCTGAACTGATGCAAGTATGTTTAAGAACACAAGACGTACAATATTCTTTATGGACGTGAGAAAAAATTTAACTCAATTAACCATTCCTCTGTTACTTTATTCAGGAGATTAAAATCAGACAAATCAGAAGCTAAAGTAAATTTGTTGCAGCTTATATTTGTATGAATTATTTTGATAATCTGCTTCAGGGTATGTTAACAATTATGAATCAACATATCTGTCGAATTAAATAACTATTCATTTACAAATTTGCGGGTTTATCCTTTCAACCTTTTAATAAAATTCATACAGTGCTTAATATATATATAATTGTGCAACATTATAAAACGCGTAATTATAAAAGCAAGAAACTCAACAAAAATGTCTGCTTTCCTTGAATCCATTAAATTGAAAAAAAAAAGGTGCTTGACAATCGTCTGAAATTGGATGTTATCCATGTGATGTTTTTCTAGACTTAACTTCATCAGTATACATAGTAACCCTATGTGAGAAGACGTTACCCACGTTCTGACTCAACGCTGTCATCCCAGATAGTAAAGGCAAAATAAAAAATGCAATGTTTCTCTCAGCTCATCATCTGATGACAATGCCAAGTTTTAATGTGTACGAATTTTTTTTTTCTAATTTGATGGATTGCTCTAATTTTTTTTCTTTCATGGACTTACATGAACTTGTATTATTTTATACTCCTAGGAACATTGCAGTATTTTCATCTCGTTACTTGATTTATGGTGTTTTTCAAGTTAATATTTACAAAACTACACATTCATTTTCCAAGCGTGCGCCTAGTTACCCTGAAAGAATAACACATTGTTCAAATACGCAATCCAAGAATTTCAGAATAATTTTACGTACAAATAAGGCTGAGTTTATCCAAATGTATATGTAACATAAATTGATTTAACACTACAAGACAAAGACTAGTGAACTTGGTAATGTAAAATTAAAAGAGAGAACCGCAGATAACGATGTAACGTAGCATTAGAATAATAAAATAAAATGATCTAAAGTAACAAGTATAGATATGTGAGGCAACATTATAACATTAACATTTTTATAGGAAAACTGATCGTTTGTTGTTGTTACTCTTAGTAAAAGATTGTTAGTAGAATGCTCGGATCCCAAAGAAATGACTAACTGCTTGATCACTGAATCTCCTAATGTAGAGGTTTACTAAATTCCTGTTAATATTATTGACAGCTAAAGAAGGCCAGGGACCCCACGCCCTGTTTGTTCAGGCTCGTCCATAGCTTATGCTCAAACAAAAGTTTTCCCAACTTACCATGCTTCCGTCCAAATCCGATTCGTTGTGATCCATTTGAAAAATGGGAATCGGAGCTCTGTTTTTGACTCGAATTTTGGCTATTTTTTCTAGCACTTGACGATTAGCAAAAAATTACCCCGAGCTTCTCCCAGAAATAACGTGCGTCTGTTGTTCGGTATCAGCCGCTTTCGCTCACTAGGGGAAAGTACGACTCCCAGCGTGCCTCGCGTTGATGTAGTGCCCTATCGCGTCGTTCCTCAAAGCAGATATCGCCAGCCGTGCCCTCAGATGTCTTACATAATTGGTCAATTTATGGTCCCAGGTTGCCAAATCACAGGCTTTAATTTGTCGGCTGATTATAATATTCAACGTCCCTAAACTTTCATTAACACAAAAGTATGTCCTTCAGATATGATTCACGTATATTTCACCGAAAACTTACTTTTACATGAGCTTTAAAAACTCAAATATTATGAAAGCTAAAGCAGTACTTTTAAGCTTAAGAAACAGAAAATTTTTGATATATAGCTCTTGCCTGATTATAATAAATGTCAGTATATCATTGTTGCTGTTGATCTTTCACTGACTTGTATGGATTCCAGGTTCCATGCTCTCTATGGTAGTTGGATAAAACTATTTTCATTTGGAGTTTAATTCGTTTAAAAGTTTAATTGCACACCTCAGTTTTTATAAATATTTCACATGATTATTTGAAGGCCTTGTGCTCTTCTTCTACGAAACTTTTGATTTAATTCACATAAATTTTGTTTATTTTTGATGAGTTAGTTATTAATAAGCTTTAGAATATTCATTCGGAGAGTTTATGCAGTTGGTTATACCGTTATTTAATACAATTGACGTAGATCTCGATTTGTCTTAATATTGATTTTAAAATATTTTCTCTCAACTCTTTTAGTGGGTCATCTTTTAGGAAGCTTTTCACTTTAGTTAGTTTTAAATGTCTTTATTTAAAACTTTTCAATCATTTAAGAACTTCTAATGAGAAGTAAGCTAACTATATTCATCGGAGCTATACGATGAGCTATCTGTGCTGTGCCCACCACGGGTATCGAAACACGGTTTTTAGCTTTATAAGTCTTCAGACGTACAGCTGAGAGGTAAACAAAGTAATTTTATAAATTCATAAACTGGTTCTAAATATTAGACGCCACAAATCGGTGCATTAAAAACTATAATGATTAAATACTGTTAACTACACTTTCTACCGTAATCTCATTTCACTAATTTGTCAGTAGTTTTATTATTATATTTTTATCAAGGGGAATTAGTTTGTATTTTGTTAGTCTAGTGTATGGATTTAGGACTAACCTAAGTATCCTAAGATCATTGAAATTTTGAGATATTATTGGGTTTACGGCCGAAAATGGGACGAACAGCGCGGGTACCCAACTGATTAATCTTTATCTTAAAAAGAAAGGACCTAAGAATAGTAGATTTAATAATAACTAAACCCATTACCGGGTTGACCTTTAGGTTTTGTCTAATTAGGTGGCTTGCTTTTATCGGATTTTAATAAATAGTAAATTATATACCATATGATTTTGAACAAAAAAAATTTTATAATTTGATATTTCTTATCGATTTGTAATTGATAATTTGTTATTAAGTTTAACTAATATAAACACTTAAATATACATTTAGGAACTTGTGTCTTGCCTTTTTAGCAAAATCACGCTTTTCCGTTTATATATATATATATATTTGTTATTACAGAATTTCAGTTTCCATTATATTGTATGTTACTACTTGTTTGGGCCCGGCATGGCCAGGTGGTTAGGTCATTCGACTCGCAATCTGAGGGTCCCACCAAACATGCTCGCTCTTTCAGCCATGGGGGCGTTATAATGTGACGGTCAATCCCACTATTCGTTGGTAAAAGAGTAGCCCAATAGTTGGCGGTGGGCAGTGATGACTAGCTGCCTTCCCTCTAGTCTTACACTGCTAAATTAGGGACGGCTAGCGCAGATAGCCCTCGTGTAGCTTTGCGCGAAATTCAAAACAAACAAACAATACTACCTGTTATAAATCCCAAAACAACAACAAAACGAATATGCTGCAGATTATGTTTAATTTTTGAAATATTAAATACAGGTGTTGTGGAATAACAGCACTTACTTGCTATGTATCACAACTAAAACTATTCGGAATCAATATTTAATTTTTCTGAGTTATTTAGTTTTATACCTTATATTTTTTATATTCTTTACGAGTACTGAAATTATCACAGATTAGTTACGAAAGACATGTTTATTATAATAGACTAAGTACCGTGCAAAATAGAAAAGTAATGTTAGAATTAAAACTATAATTATTTTAAACATTTTAGCATAATAGTTTCGATTTGTCTGTGTTTCCAAAGTCGTTTCTCAAAGAATATCAAACAACGAAATGAAGGGATCTTTCAAATATTGCACATATAGGATTATAAGTTACTTCATGTGACTAGGTAAAAGTAACAGATGTTGCACTTCAAAATCCTAAGAACTAAAACGTTCAGAGATATATAGAACAAGACTGTCTAAGAAGAAAAATTTGTGAGAAGCCGATTACTTCTTGGACCTCGGGTTTCTTCTGTGTATAACCTACCGCATTCTTATCATTACAATTAGTAAAACTGAATTAGCGAGAAAAAAAACAAGATTCAAATACATTTCATTTCGTGTAAAGAAGCTTTTATAATAGCGAATTTTTATAAATTTATTTACTGACACAATATTCGTAAATAATTAGTACCCTGTTTTGTATTTAACATCTATGTGTTTCTTCAAATGAGATATTAAATAAAAGTTTGGAAATATCACATGTAAAATATTATTAATCATATATTCGATAACCATCACATTTTATTGTTTTCACGAGGAGCAAGGTTTCACTTGCCATTCCGTGGCTTCATTCACATTAAACTAAACTTTACAAAACTGCAAACCAAAATAAAGAAAACTGTCAAAACCTCACTCCTTATAAAGTCAAATTTCGGGATAATAGAATAAAATATCTAGTTAATATATATTTGTACTTGATCATGTATTTTTTATTACAACAAAGAAGTCTATTTTTTTCTTAATGATGTTTTCCCCAATTCCTCCTCTTCATTACCTTTCAGGGAGGGTTAGTTTAACAGTATAAATATATATATATAGCTCTTGCAAGGAATCCTTATTCAGTAATAATGACTGTACTTATATTAAAAACTGATTTTTTTTAAATTAGTAGTTTACAATGATATCGAAGAAGAAGAAGGCACTTGTTTATAAAAGTGCTATCATCGTATAAATAAACGGTTTACTTTTCATAGCGTTGAAAAGATGCTCAACCATATTTAATACAATACTCAGTAGGCAAAGTTGTTTTGTAACGAAACATAATGAGGCCGAAAACAATCTTTAAGACTAGCAAAAAATTTGAAGCGAACTTCTCAGAAAGAGAAAACTGACCTCGAAAAGGAAGGAGGACAGAAAACTAGAACCAAAGTCTTTTAACGGAACAGATGAGTTAATAATTTCAGTTATTAACAAAATAAACTTTTGTCAAATATTATTTAAAAATCGTCAAAGTTGTGTTATTGAAATACTTTATTATAATTGTTTTTTGTTAGATTTATTTTAATGGCCCTTAATTCTAAAAAAAAAACAACACTATTAAATAAATTGAAAAATAACATAAAGTTTTCAAATTTAAATGACAAAAGAAAATAACATTTTATAACATTTAAAAGTTTTGGAGAGAGGGTATTGCATGCCCGTACAGTACCTTGTGTCAAATGGTGACTTATCATTACTATATCAAGCAAAGGTTTATCTTAATGACAGTAAATGGTAAATTGTCATTCCCGTGCGAAATAATGGCATATATAAATCGTGATTTCTACTACCATATCAAGTGGTAAAGATGAGATATGAAACAAAAATAAAGAAAACGAGAATGGATTTTAAAATAAACTTTGTAATGAACTTAATCATTTTAATCTTCTATTGCTATAATTCCGTGAAAAAAACACTTAACGTCTAATTTTAGTCAATATTATCAAAAGATTGCATAAATATAAAATCTATAAACAAAAGCATCAAGAAGCAGATCAACTGTAACTCTTATAATAACTCATACAAAAACATTATTTCGAAATACTAGAAACTAATAATTGGTTCTAAAAGAAGTGCCCCAATGGTAAAGTGGCTTATAACGCTAAAATCCGGGTTTCGATACCCGAGGTGGGCAAAGCACAGACAGCTCGTGTATCTTCGTTCTTAACTATAAACAAACAAATAGTACCACTAAACAAACAAACAACAAAATCTGAGGGTCGCGGGTGCGAATCCCAGTCCCACCAACCATACTCGCCCTTTCAGCCATCAGAGCGTTACAATGTGACGTTCAATCCCACTATTCGTTGGTAAAAGAGTACCCCAAGAGTTGGCGGTGGGTGGTGATAACTAGCTGACTTCCCTTTAACCTTTCATTGCTAAATTAGGGACGGCTAGTGCAGATAGCCTTTGTGTGGCTTTGCGCGAAATTCAAAAGTAAACAAACAAACAATCAATTAAAAAACAGAAAAATCATATAGTAGTGTTTTTTTAAGCAGAACGAACATTTATGAACTTTAAACAAGGATTGATAGGATGTTTAATAACCAATATTATTCACTTACACTAGAAGGTATTAGACCAGAGAAGGACAATGAATACCTTTCTTTGCTATTTTGCACACTTGGTAACTCCAAAACTGTATGACATATAGTATACCACTTCACAAGTGAGCTATCCTTGGTATGTCATGGAAAAGAAATCCTTTGACGGTGGAAATGAAAATAAAGCTGAAAACTAAAGCCCTGACTAGAACTACGTTAATCTTACATTACGTAAAAACCAAGAGTCGTCTGCTAGAACTGTATTGAGGCATTTTGAACATTAGAGTAAACCACTAACTTCTGTAAGTTATTCATTAATCCGGTTTGGTTTGGTTTGAATTTCGCGCAAAGCTACACGAGGGCTATCTGCGGTAGCCGTCCCTAAATTAGCAGTGAAAGACTAGAGAGAAGGCAGCTAGTCAACATCACTCACCGCCAACTCTTGGGCTGCTATTTTATCATCGAATAGTGGGATAGACCACCATATTATAACGCCCCTCCCCCACGAGCATTTCGGCG